TTAGAATGGAAACCCGTATATAATGGACACAATTTACGGTCCTATAAATAATTGCATGTAAAATCCTCGGATATTATAGACTCGCTTAAAATAGACCCTCGCTTATAGCGGATTATTTTAATCCATTATATGCGAGCTATTTTGGTAGTTCCCCGAAGCAGATTTAGCTGATGCAATCGTTTACGGCGGTTTGACTTCGCAGTTTGCATTCGAACTTGGCCACCAGTGTTACGAGGGATGTCTTTTAAGTTTTGCATATAGAAACATAGTAGGCAGCGTGGATCGAACGTCAGTACTGAATCTTAACCTCATCCTTTAGTAAACTTAAATTCCAAGTTTCACAACAATACGTGCAGTGTTCTCACTACTGTGAATTTTTAAGTATCACCAAGTCATTAGAAAAATGGAACTCAACCGAGGACATTTTCGCGCCATAATTTATTACAACTTTCAGAGACAATTATCGCAACAAGAATGCCTTGCTGAGTTACTGTCTGTTTTCCGTAAGGAAGCGCTACATCAGTCGACAATTTCCCGTTGGTATGGAGAATTCAAACGTGGACGGGTGAGACTTAGCGACGATCCCAGGGTGGGTGCTCCAATAACGGCAGTCACTCAGGAAAACGTCGATGCTGTGCGCAAACTCATCATTGAAGATAGACATGTGACATATCGCGAGATTGAGGCGTCCTTGAAGATCTCAAAGACCTCAATTCAAAAAAATTTACATGAAGAATTAGGAGTAAGAAAATTAATTTCTCGTTGGATACCCCACCTGTTGACTGAGGAGCAGAAAGCAGCCAGGGGTGTTCGATTGTTGAAGTTTTTTTTAAAAAATGCAAATGTAGCAATCATGCTAAATAAATATTATACAAACAAACTCCATTCACATTGCTAATACCTAATACCTGATTTGAGTTTGATTTGATGTCAAGTCAAGCCAAGTAGTGCGAAAATCAAGTCTAGATATTCTATTCCCTCATTTTTTGCATATAAACTGAATCCAAATTCAAGATGAGATGTAAATAATAACAGTTAGCGCGTGATCTCTCCGTAACAGGTCGAGACAACGCCTCTTATTGGTCAATTCGCCATTAAATTTCAAGCGGTCGCCTGGCGGAATAATGCGCGGGGCAGGGGCAGGGCAGGCAGAGTTGCATTCAGGCCACCGACCGTCGCGTGTATCACTGCGTGCTCGTGTCTTCGTATTCACCTCGCTTGGTTGTTGCTGTTGTTGTTGTTAAGTGTGTTTGAGTAATTTGTTAAGTTTCTGTTTGTTATTGTTATTCCTCGTTATTATTTGTTTTGAACCAATCCTGAACATGTCCAGTACAGATACTGCTGACAAGGCTGTAGGCTACTCCCTTAGCCCTCCTAGAAAGCTATAAAAAAAGACATCTTAGCGTAGACATGAAAGACGTCGTATTGAATACATTCAAGATAGAGCGGAAGGAAGACGAAACATCAACTAACCCGAAAATAGCTCTGAAAGTGGCAGATAAAATTGGGGTATGCCAAGCGACAGTGTACAATGTTCTGAACGAACATAAGAAAAAACATGCCTTTTCCAAGCCAATGACGGGTAAAAATCGCAAAAGTATCATAAGATCGTTGGATGACGCTGACAAGCATGCGATTCGGAGGAAAGTGCACGAGTTCTTCTTCAGAAACGAAATACCGACAGTTGATAAAGTACTACGGGAGGTTAACGAGGATGTTACCAAATTTCAAACATTCGACTATTCATAAACTTTTGAAGCATCTTAATTTCGAATGGAAGAAACGAGGTCGTAACAGCTTACTTATGGATAGAGAAGAAATTGTTCTGTGGAGGAGAGAGTACCTGACAAAAATTAAATCATTCAGGGATCAGCACAGGAAGATCTATTACCTGGACGAAACCTGGATTAACGCTGGACATACTACTCCGAAGGTATGGGTTGACAAAACTGTGACTTCATCCAGAAGGGCATTTCTAGATGGACTGTCGACCGGATTGAAAAATCCAGCAGGTAAATAGATCCAAGTAGTTCACGGTATCAATTTTTGCGCACAATATCTCTCTATCTTCGTACCTACAAGACGTGCATGTGTACTTAGCGGTTTTTATCTTTCTAGGCAAAGGAAAAAGCCACATTGGGGGTGTAGATGGCTTCGTGGATGACGGCTTATGGTCTTTTGAGTAAAAAAAAACCACTGACTACCATGAAGAGATGAATGGGGAAGCATTCGAGAAATGGTTTTCAGGCATTTTACCACATCTCGAAGACAATTCTGTGGTTGTTTTGGATAATGCTCCCTATCATTCTCGCAAAATAGAAAAAATCCCAACTTCAGCTTCTAGGAAATCAGACATTCAGAGCTGGACCCGTTCCAAAAATACATGGTGACTTCGAAGTTGAGTCATTTATTTTAACAGTGAGTAGATCTTATCAAAAGAAATGTTTTTTTCCTTTACCATTTTTCTGGTAAAATTAAAGTAACAAAGTTATAGCCCTTTGGAAGTTTGAGTACCGCCCTGTCTCAATAATAATATTATGTGCTCGTGTTTGGTTCATCGCATCGGAAACAAAAAAGCTAAAGAATTTGGAACGATGTTTTTACAATTATTTTAGTCAGTTGTATACAGTCAGTGTCAGTCGGTAACGCGTTTGAATAGTGGTGTCTGTTGCGTGGCTCAAACGAAATAAAAAATGGCACATGTTTATGCGGATCGGTTTCCCAATCGAGTGCAACCAACCCCTCGTGCCTTTGTTAATGTAGTACAACGGGCTCGTGAATCAGGTGACTTAAGACCACACAGGGGACTGCATGCCGGTGCTCCAAGACCTCACGATCAAATACAGGTCTGCACTGAAATACTTGTCGGGAGAATACTTTATAAAACAAGGTAAAAATTTTTTTTTTATTTTTACACACATATTTTGGTTTATCTTCCTTCTACAATCATTATCTGAAAATTAATGACTCAACTTCAAAGTCACCCTGTATAACGACCCTTCCTTACTGAAATTACAACTACTAGATATTGTGAAACAACACAGACCAAGACATGATAAATATGTCATAGATGAAATGTCCAAAGCACACCACAAAACAGTACTCCGTTTGCCGCCTTACCACTGTGAGCTCAACCCCATTGAGCTCATATGGGCAGATGTTAAGAATTTTGTTGCTGCACACAATACAACATTTAAATTTTCTGACATACAAGAGCTGTTCAGAATTGCTATACAGAGAGTGACACCAGAAAGAGGGCAAAAATGTGTGCAGCATGTTCAGGAGAAAGTGGAGGTAGCAATGTGGGAGCTGGACAACATAATTGAGAGAGATTTTGAATCCATCATCATAAACATTAATGACGATGGCTCTTCAAGTGAGTCTGAGTAAGTTTCGCCTTTTTGTTTTGTATTATGGGAATCCTAGTTATAGTGAAATATTAACTTACAGATAAACTACAGACAATGCAAGTCCGAAGTGCACCTTCAAAATCTATTTTCAATTGATTGAACAGCCTCATATTTATTCCATGTACAAAAGTGTCATCTCTACCCCTCGTTGACTACGGATTCATTGTGCATAGTGAGCAGCTGGTTACCTCTGGTATGTATTTCTCCATCTTGTCTAGTTTGAAAAATCTGTAGAAAAGCTTAGCACCCCTTCAAGAATAAAAATTTGATTTTGCGACACCCTTAACTATAACTACTTCACTATATTAGATAATTTCGTTAAATACTGTCATCTTTGTTTTACAACACGTTGGTGGTAGTCCATCATTCGGAGGTAGCCCTGAATGCGGCCCTGTACGCCGTCCTTGCTTTTGGCAATCACGCATCCATTCTATCTTGGGTGTAAATACACTATAGAAACATAGTAGGCCGCGCGGATGGAACGTCAGTACTGAATCTTAACCTCACTCTTTAGTAAACTTAAATTCAAAGTTTCACAACAATACACACTACAGTGAATTTTTAAGTGTCACCAAGTCATTAGAAAAATGGAACTCAACCGAGAACATTTTCGCGCCATAATTTATTACAACTTTCAGAGATTTTACTTGAAGAATTAGGAGTAAGAAAATTAGTTTCTCGTTGGATACCCCACCTAGTGACTGAAGAGCAGAAAGCAGCCAGGGTTAATTGGTCTCAAAAAACGCTTGACCGTCTCAATTCCGGAAACTCAAAAAATGTGTACAGCATTGTTAGTGGTGATGAATCATGGATTTACTGTTATGTACCAGAAAATAAACGACAGTCGGCTGTTTGGGTGTTCCAAGGTGAAGGAAAGCCAACAAAAGTCATCCGTTCTCGAAGTGTTTCGAAAAATATGGTCGCGACATTTGTGTCAAAAGCGGATCATATTGCAACAATTCCTCTTAATGAGCAAAGAACTGTTACTGCGGGTTGGTATACCACCATTTGTTTGCCAAAAGTCATCCCCGAGCTTCGAAAAATCAACCCCGAAAGAAGAATCATCCTCCACCAAGACAATGCAAGCTCGCACACAGCCCAAAAAATAAGGCAGTATTTAACGGAAGAAAACGTGGAATTAGTGGACCATCCTCCATATGGTCCCTACCTAAGTCCTAACGATTTCTCTACTTTTCCGAAAATTAAAAACAGACTGCGTGGTCAAAGGTTTCAGTCAGCAGAAGAAGCAGTTGACGTATTCAAAAAAGCCGTTTTGGATCTGCCAGCAAACGAGGGAATAAGGGCTTCGAAAATTGGTTCGAGCGCATGCAGATGTGTATTTATCTTTGTGGAGATAACTTCTAAAAACAATACAGTCATTTAAAACTACCTACCGTGTTGTTTTATTTCCATATACAAAACTTAAAGGACATCCCTCGTAGTTAGCCTCCTGGTAATTAGACCCAGAGAACTTGTTGTTTGTTTAACGAGTTCTTCTAAATTAACGTGTAGAATGTAAGTCAATTTAATTATTATCATTATTTTGCTTTCATAGATTATTTTTTTCATTATAAGTTTGTAAATACTCACTTCAGTATGCCTGGCTGATTATCCTTAACCGCATGTAGAACACAATCACCAATTTCAATGCCAGGTTGAGCAAGCAAAAATTCTACCATTGGTTCCGCATGTGACTGTACTGCTATCAGCAAGGCAGTTACACCTTGGAAATTAGTGCAATTGATGTTCAAATTCGGGTGTTGGTCTAAGTATTCTTTCACAGTGAGAACATCACCTGTGCACGAGAAAAAAAAACAAATTTTTAGTTCAATCTCAAAGAGCTCTTCCAATTTTTTTGAGATTGGAGCACTGAGAAAACTAGGTCAATCGAACAGTGTTCTGGAAAATTTTCATTACCAGTAATACATATTTAATTACTCTAAGTAACTAAATTATAGAGTTTATTTAAAACGAATTTTCTGGATTCAGTTTAATTGAAAGTATGTCATTGCTACAACATCATTCGGCTTCTATTGTTCGCCATGACGAACTGATCTCTAATTGTGAGGCTAGTATTCAGCAAGTCCACAGTATCTTATCCAACATTTCGAACGTTGAATCTAGACTGACCAATGCACTGATAAATGGTAGATCGTTGAATACCAACGCTAACAATATCCCATCATCTCCGACTGAAACTTTGGAAATACTCAGACGATCTCACAATATTATCCTAAAAGGTCTTCGTGAAGGCAACAATGAGTCTGATTCCGTAACAGACATAATCAACCACATCGAACCGTCTGCTAATGGATACCGCTTCAGTATGACCAGACTTGGTGCTGTATCTACATCTCGTCCTCGGTTAATAAAGGTTAGCTTTGCATCGCCTATAATAGCTAAGAATATTCTACGCAAGAAGAATGTCTTGTGCCTATAGCTGCGAAAAGATCGTCCAAGAACAACTTATGACATTTGTGTTCAAGAACAACCTGCTGGCTAGCAACCAACATGGTTTTATTCCTGGTAGATCAATTATCACCAACATGTTACACTGCATCGACAATTGGACCAGATCTTTAAACGCAAATGAACCGGTCGACGTGGTTTATCTGGATTTTTCCAGAGCTTTCGATCGAGTTCCGCATAAAAGGCTCCTGCACAAGCTTGAACATCTCGGAATCAGGGGAAATTTGTTGTTATGGATTGAAGCTTTTTTGTTAGATAGATATTTCTCCGTCCGTGTTGGAGACGCCTATTCTTCTAGCCATCGTGTTACTAGTGGAGTTCCACAAGGATCTTTGCTAGGGCCAATACTTTTTCTTCTTTATACAAGCGACCTTCCCACCCGACTTTCTTCTATGTGTTCCATCTATGCAGATGATACTAAAGTCTATAACACTGCCATGAACTCATCTGTGCTTCAAGAAGACCTCAAGCTGATCAGAAAGTGGTCAGAACTTTGGCTCCTGCCTTTAAATCTCTCGAAATGCTACGTTCTCCACCTGGGAAAGAATAATCCTAACTTAACATATAAGATTGGCAAACATACCTTAGAGACTGTTTTTCTTCACACAGATCTTGATCTGACAGTTAATGACCGGCTCACCTGGTCGGAGCACATTCAGAACATAACCTCTAAGGCAAAGCGGTTGCTATATATGATAGAAAGATCATTTAGCGGTTGCACCGTTAGTACCTCCTCCTTCTTGTACACAACTTTCGTAGTTTGCTGCTCCGGTATGAGATTCAAACCTTGTTCGCGATAGCAGCTTATTAGAGGCCGTTCAGCGTCGTGCTACACGTATTCCTTATGGCACACGTAAGCCAAGTTATGAAGACCGCCTCGAGTTATATAACCTGTCTGCTTTTGCTGATAGAAGAATGAGAGAAGATCTTATCATCACTTTCAGAGCACTACATAATTTGTTTGGTGTGGACATGTCGCATTTGTTTCGTCTGGCAACGAACAATCTCAGACGCCATAACTTCAAATTGCAGAAAGAAGCTTTTAGAACGTCTACTCGTCAGCGCTTTATCTCAAACCGTGTCTTCGATGCATGGAACAGTCTTCCATCTTATGTAGTGAACTGGGCATCCGTCAACAGTTTCAAAAACAATTATGATAGACACCGCAGTGCTTAACATATTGTTCCCATTCTGTATATGTCTACTACAGAACTGCTAAGATTCTCAAATTGTTATATTTCTTTTGTCTGTACACTATTATCTATTATGTGTTTGAGCTTATAGTACTTGTACTCAACTCAAATGTGTTGTTTAATAATAATAATTAAACTAATTTTCAAGGGATTGACCATGGGGGCCGAGGGTGAAAACGGGTGAAGTAGTTTTTGATTAAAAAGTTGCCCCACTTGACAAATCTTTTCACGTGTCTCGACGTTTTTTCTTTTAATCAGTGGTTTTCGGTAAATTCGTGGTGAGAAGTTTTCAAATGAACACCCTGTATATAGAAAATCGAGCCGCCTGTTGGTATAGACTTTGTGTAGTATTTGACAATATCGTAGTTGGTGCCGTCGAAGTTATATTTATGTGAATGCGTTGAAAGGGAGTGAGTGCAATATTGTTTTATTATTAGAAATAAGCGCAAATTTTTGTACACGTGATCAAGTGCTCTTATTCATTTGCAGGCATCCCTTTTTATACTTTCTGAATTTAAAACTACGAATTTTTTCTAGTGAATGGTGATATTATAACCTGCTTCTGGACAAACAGACAACTAGTTGGTAAAACTTGATCCCATATACAGGGTGTAAACGTTACGATAGTCATTATTTAAATTGGTGATAGAGGGGGTTGAAAGAAGCAAAAAGTTTCATATAACATGGGGGTCAAAACGGCATTTTTTTAGAGAAAAGCGACTTTAAAGTGAAATAAAATCTGACAACGCCGCAATGCCAGACGCAAATTACGACGGAACCCAGTGTAAATAAAGATCGAGTTTGTTATTTTTGGTTCTTAGGTATTATTTCCTTATTTGATAATGTACTCGTAAAATGCAAACAATTAAAAAACGGACTTACAACTAACTGTCTCAGCATTTCATCTGTTGTGTGAAAGTTTATTGAACGTATTAAAAAAATCCACTTATAAATAGGGAACACAATTTTGATACATATACATTGTTTTTTCTTTAAAACCCATACTGCACTTTTTTGTATTTAAAGGTGTTCAAAATGTATTCCTCAACTTTCCACACAAGCTTCATTACGACGAACCCAGTTTCTTCTTACTCTAGGTCCTCGAAGTTGTCCATTTATTATTTCAGCCGCATTAAAATTTTTTTCACGAAGTTGTGCTTCAGTTGTTATTGACTCCATAAACCATCCCATTAAGTTCTCCCCAATACCAGAAATCCATTGGATTGAGGTCAGGAGATCCTGCTGGCCATTTTCGAGGATCAGGGTCATTTCGACCGATCCAGCGATTTGGATAATGTTCATTCAAATACTGAATGACGCCTCAAAAAATGTGTGGTGGTGCCATGTCATGAAGAAACCACAAATCCTGTTTCCGTTGTAATGGCATGTTGTCTAAGATCCGTTCCAAAAGTTCTGGTAGGCTAGAAACCTAAGGTATCCTTCTACTGACAACTTTGGGGGTAACTCGAAAGAGCCAACTACCTGATCGTCAAGAATACCCTCCCAAATATTTATTTTAAAACGTTGTTGGAAATGACCTTCACGAATGGTATGAGGCGAGTGCGAGTATTATGGAAAGTTAATATTCCGTCTCGCGTAAAAGTTCATTCGTCCGTCGCTAGAATGTTTTTAAAAAAATCCGGATTTTCAATGTTTTTGTGCAAAAACCATCGACAGAATGTTAGTCTGCGAGGATAGTCTTCTGGTAACAACGCCTGCACTCGTTGTACGTGGTAGGGATAAAGCAAATTTTCCCGTAGGATTCTATGGACTATGGTATGCGATAGTCCTATGCGGTGGCCTAATTCCCGAGTGCTGATATCTACATTGATTTCCACGATATTTAAAATTTGTTCCTCCTGCTCTACAGTAACCTGTCTTTCACGAGTGCGAATATTAGTGGGCTGAACATTTCCTGTATCTCGAAGTCTTTGGTACACTTGCACAAATGTCCTTCTCTCTGGGAGTACCCGTTGGCGAAATCTGTCGCGATAAATTTGAGCTGCAAGATTTGAATTCTGACGAGCTTCACCGTAAACTAATAATGTCGGCGAACTCTTGATTCGAGAACATTGTAAATAAACACGACGACGTACGCGAACAATAACTAACCACTGTGACCGTTTGCGATCGATTGCCGGTTCAATAAGAGTGATGAATGGCCGACTCACTGTTGTCATGTGTCTTTTAAATATTTAATTCAATGAAACTTACTTACTGACTACAAATTTTGGCTTAACTTAGAAAAACTTAATGCCATTTATTTGTTAATTATCCAATTTAAAAACGTTTTAGATTAGATTATAAAAATTAGTAAGATTGTGGTGATTGTGGTCGATATAAAGCACTTAAAGTCGTAAACTATAAAGCAATTTAGACAAACAATCTATTGACTTTTGGACCATGGGTCATGTAAACTTTTTGACTTGTTTTGACCTCCCTATTACCCATTTCAATAATGACTACCATAACGTTTACACTCTGTATAAGAAGTACACATTCAACGAAAATAAAAATTGTCGAATTTTGTTAAAGTTATAAAATTGGGAAGTTTTTGGATATCTAAGAATTGTCAGAGCACAGTTATAGTATACATCATTCAGTAAAACGCAATGTATTCTTTTGAGTTCCAAATATACCTTTAAATCTAAATATGATATGTATATACTAAGTGACATATAAATCCGAGCACCCAGTTTAAATGGTTTTATTTTAATAAAATTTTGTATAAGTACTTAATGAAGCATAATAAGTAAATGATAAAAATTTCAAAATGATTGCACTGCTTTAAAGCCCTTTGACCTTTAATAATGTGTGGATGCACCCTGATGTGCTACGCATTCTCCAACGCGCCTAGGCATGCTTCTGATCAGGTGGTCAATGTCCTCCTGTGGTATCTCGTTCCAGGCAACCACCAACTCCTCTCGAAGTGCTTCTAGAGTCTGAGGAGGACGTTGCAAATTGAGCAATCTCCTACCCATCATATCCCACACGTGCTCAATTGGGGATAAGTCGGGAGATCTTGGTGGCCATGGTAACAATGTGACATCATTATGTTGAAAGAAGTCTATTGTGACTCTTGCAACATGTGGTCGGGCATTATCTTGTTGGAAAGTTGGATCTGCCAGGGTGTCAAGATAGGGTAAAAGATGGGGTTCTAGAACTTCGTGGATATAACGCTGCGCGTTCATGTTACCTCTGATGAAGATTAAAGGTGACCTGGAACCATAAGCTATAGCACCCCAAACCATAACTCCAACAGTGTGATGAACATGTCTTTCAACAAAAAACTGTGGATTCCTCCTTTCACCACGTCGCCTTCTAACCCTGGCACGACCATCGTGCATGCCTAAACAAAATCGAGACTCGTCACTAAAGACAATACTGTTCCATTCCTGATCCCAGAGTGACCGTTGTCTGCACCACTCAAGGCGATTACGTCGGTGTTCTCGAGTTAAAGGGAGGACCCAGTGTGGCCGGTATGAAAACAAGCCAAAACTTCTCATTCGTCGGTAAACACGTCGCATGCCAATAGGTCTTCCGTGTTCTGCAAACCATTCATTTGCAATGGACCTGGTAGTGGAGAAACGGTCCCTTAAGGCCAATAATCTTAGGCGGCGATCTTCACGGTCTGTTGTTCTACGGCGGCGTCCAGTGCCCCTTGCTCTTTACGTACGGCCTTCTCGAAGCCATGCCTGACAACACCTAACCACAGTGTCTACACTTCTTTGCACTCTAACTGCAATTGCCCGAAAAGAAAGTCCAGCTTCCCGAAGTCCCACTAAACGGCCCCTATCAAACTCACTAAGTTGACGAAATCGTACAGGTCTCCGTACTCTAGGCATCTTGACCGATCGTAAAGGATGTCAAGAACCAAAATCCGCCAACGTTGATTCTTTACTGCGGCTGAAATATTCATTTTTAGAGCGTTAGTGAATTAAAAAAAAGCAGTATAAAAACCGGAATGTCCAACTGATAAGGCTGAAAATTTTTTCACTTGTTATTTACAGTAAGATGAATACATTCACCAACTTTTATTAAAATAAAACCATTTAAACTGGGTGTTCGGATCTATGTCACTTAGTATATGTTATGTTAGCATGATATCCACATACAAGGATATTTTGCTTTTGTGGCATATGAATTTGTTCACAATTTGTAATTGATGTGAATAAATTACTATTATTTTAACTGGGCCCTGAACTCTCGCTTTAGGTTCAATAGAGGAGCCCCATATGACATTTTTATGGTTAGAAATACGTAATCTTTTACTGTCTGTGTTGGACTGGCCGTACATCTGCAAAACGCCTGAATAAGAAATTTACCTGCGTTAAATACCTATTCAAATCTGAATGTTTTTTATCGGTTATAACGATAATGTATAACTATTATATTGTAGAATACTTCCTCTACCTGTAGAAACTAGCTCGAAGAACCTCTGCTCTGTATCTTGCAACTGCGGCAGTAATATGCTTGGCCGCGGTATCAGCATATCGGATTCATGAGAGTATCTTTTAAAATTAATCTTATTCTTATTAACAGTTGGACTTGAATGTGATCTGGACATCTCTGTGGTTTTACAGGAAACTGCTCAAACTATATGAATAGTGGAATGTATAGATTCAAATATTTGACAAATTCGTGTTTTAGTTCATATGACAGTTGGTGCCATAGTCATCTGACTGAAAAATTATTATACGGAGCGTTGCAATTTTCAGCTTTTGAACTGAAAAACAGGTAAAAATGGGTCAGATCATTCACTTACCAGTACTGCATTGTATCTAGGTGCACAGCTTAAAAAAGATAAGGACCTCCTAGCTTACGTCATGCAATTATGGAGTAGGGAAGACCGACTGGTTGTCACATGGGTTGGTTGTCACAATTGTTAAATCTCAACAGGGCATTTGCAGGAAATCTTTGAGTGAAGCACTTAAGCGTAGAGCTAAATTGACTGGAAGATTAAGAAATTGCCCTCCTTCATCCAAAACCAAGTCATCAACTGTTTGTTTTACTTTACATGTGGTGGAAGAAACCTATTGTCTAGTAATCTAAATAGGCCACTTTTTGGACGACAGCATGCTGTATTTATACATTTTACAATTTGAAGCAAGTATTGGCTCTCACGCACATGTTCCGAAGACCATTTAATGTCTGGAAAATCAGGAAGATCTTGTTCACCTGCCCCAACATATTTTGCATTAACGTTATAGCCATCACTTTCCATTGAACTCCATACTTCAGCTAATACATTTCCTGCAAATTCGAAATTAGATCTTTCTAAATGTTCATCAATTGTAACGCCACGTTCATCCAAATGAGAAACAAAATGGTCATGAGGCAATATTAAACCAGCCAGTTCCCGACTAAGAGGAGCCATTCTGCGCTCTTCTCTGTTACACGCACTTCTGCCAGGAGCATTGGTAGCTAAAAACAATGCATCGAGATCGTGTCGCTCAAAGTGTTGTTTAGCAAACCCTATAACTTTTTGATAACGTGGATTTTCATCTGGCGCTCCATCAACCGTCATGATTACCACTGGTTTTACTAGTCCATGGTCAGTTTTAGCTAATGGTCGAAACTCTTCAAGTTCGAGAAGCGTCTCGAAATCCTGAGCATGAGTATTAGCAGTAGATGAACTATGCTTTCCACTTCGAATAGCGATGTATGTTGGTCCAGAATATCCAACAGCTTGCGGTTGTCTTAACATATTGGAAGTGATTTTGATACCAGCATAAACAGATGGTATTAATTTATGACGCTCAGCGATTACCCAATCGTGATCAGGCAATTTGATTCTGTATGCCATGTGCATTAGAAGAGGTGCTCGCTTGTTTGCCGCAGTTACGCCAATAGGAACTCCAGCTTTATCATCTTAAGATATGAAAAATACTTGATCTGGTGCAAGTATGGTTGCTATGTTCTCTAAATAATGGATTGATGTTTCAGCGAACTTGCTATCTAGGTGGCTCTTGTGGTGATCAGTTTGAGCCCGAATGAGCTTAACAGGGACTGTCGATACATGTCTTCGTCCCTCTGCAGAATCAGATTTTCTGGGAATCGAACGAAAATATGTCCCACTGCGACTAATGTCAAATCCTATTTTACGTAATTCTTGTGTGAGTTCATCAAGAGCTTTTACGCTGCGAATTGATTCCGTTCGTCTTCTATCATCTGCTGCACTCCCAAATAAAGCTATAACCGCGATTGTTTTCAATAGTGAATGTTGATTGCTTTCAAGATTAGGACGTCCCACTGAATCCCTCTTTTTTTTATTTCTGGATTTTCATGACATATATCTTCTAACTTTCTTTTCATACCATCCCTGTGTTTCTTCTGGGCAACTGCGTTTTGAACCTTCCTGTTTAAAGACTGTTTTGATGTTTTTATTTCCTCGCGTAACTTAATGATCTGTTTATCAATTTCAGCACGGCTTGGCATAGTATCTCTGGCAGAATACAAAGCATTCAGATTTTTTTCGAGTAGAGCAATCTTATTTTTCATAGCTTCCTGAGAAGGTTTTGCTTTCTGTTTATCCGTATTTTCATTAATTTCGCATTGCTGTTGTGATTCAATACCGGGTTTTATTTTATCTTCTTCCTCTTTTTTTAATATTTGAAGCTGACTGTATAATTTGTGTTTTTTCTGCAGGTTTACAGGTTTCCTAAAAATAAAAACTTTCTATGGCTTCTGCTAAAAATTCTCTTATTAAGCTACATAAATACAAAGTATGGCAATATATATGGTAAATACAAAACCCTATCGCTTCAAATCTAATATGTTTAAACGAGCAATTCGTTCCGGTCACAAAATACAGGGTGTTAGTTTTCTATATATATGTATAAAACTAACATCCTGTACTTTGTGACCAATTGACGGAATCAATCATAAGAAATAAGTCTATAATATAATGAATATTACCTCTATACTTTGAGATAGGCCATAATATTTTCTAATCAGTAAAGAGAACCTTTTTGTCGATTTCTAATATTTCTAGTACTCATAGGTACCTAAAATGATTTCGTCACTCACCTTAGAAAACAAATTTAGTAGATTGGATTTATTCTTAGTCGCCGTTTGCAATTCTTCTTCGATTCTCTTAGATACAATAATATCTAGTTCCTTGTCGGATTTTGCTTGTAATTTGTAATTTCGCCACACTTCGTTAACTAACTTTTGTACATTTTGTACTTTCGTACTTGTACGAGATTTTTTAAAACTTTCAAACAAATTTTGGTAAACTTGGATTTGTCTATGTGAAACGACATCTTATTTAAACATTAAACTTTGGCTAATGGAATCAATGGTAACACAAATGTTAACTTGCTTTACTATGCTCACAATACGTCTACTCGCTGTAGTATCCAAACGAAACAATACACTGATAGAGGAAATTTAGACAAGTGAACACCGCGCGGTAATTCGCCTACTCGGTTCTAAAGCGAGTAGGGGAATTACCGCGCCCTGTTCACTAAACGTATGCATTATTTGCGGGAATCCCCGAATATGCGTTTCGTTTTCAAGCAAAGACAATGTGAGGGTTGCCATTTGTGTAAAGAAGTAAATACCTACCGATGACGGAATCATCCTCTAGACTCCCCTATCCCCCATGTCATCCAAAATAAGCAAAGCAAAGACCCCCCCGCCCCCCATAGTGCTCACGTAATACTTGAACGGCCCCTAGTATAAAAGTTAAAAACAAACAAAAATTAATTTTCTGGCTAATGCCTGGGAAATAAAACACAATAGAACCTAGAAAATAGCGTAAATACCAACCAGATCAACAAAACTCCGCTTGTTCACTTTTCAGCCAAATTTTGTTGCTGATTCCGGACTGAAACAGAATTTTGGCACTAGACTAGACCATAAAAGACTAGACTATACCTGTTCCGACAGGAAGAAGCGCACACCGTTGCTGTTGGTGGGAGAGTAGTCGCTAGTCGCATGCGCACTGAGTGGGTTGGCAGTGTTGCCGCCATCCTTTCTTAAAGTTACAGATTTTTTTATAAGACGTTTACTTTATACCACCTTTTCAAAGACTGCCCGAGCCGTGTGGGGGGCTAACTTCCCCCTTTACCTTCCCCCCGTGGGAGCGCCAGTGACCTTGCACCGCATGAAATCTTTCCAGAAGGTTTACAAGTCTGGTTAGTGTCACTCAACGCGACGGGCCTTAAGCCTGTTTATGTTATACATTCCATTCCTCCTTTGGGCGCTTGTTCCCAGGATAAACTTTCGGGTATAAAGGTCGCATCTCAGATCAAGAGGTGCGCGAAAGTGAAGCTAAAGAAGAAACATTTGATGCAAATAGATATTTATGACATAACGTTAAAGTGGAGCGCTGACACGGAACAGTACAAAAATATGAAAATCGAGGAAGCCATAATACGATTTTAGCAACGACTGACGATACGGCCCTTAAAGACTGAGAGGTTATGCTGCTGATAGCTGCTGTTTACAAATTGTATGACGTCAGAACACATTGATATGTGCCAAACATGGCGGACAGTGTCTTCGCCTGTCTAAGAAAATTTAAAAAAATACAGTACTATATTTTTTTGGTTTGATAGAACAAATATTAACTATACTAAGTGACATATAAATCCGAACACCCAGTTTAAATGGTTTTATTTTAATAAAATTTTGTATAAGTACTTAATGAAGCATAATAAGTAAATGATAAAAATTTCAAAATGATTGCACTGCTTTAAAGCCCTTTGACCTTTAATAATGTGTAAATGCACCGTGAGGTGCATTCTCCAACGCGCCTAGGCATGCTTCTGATCAGGTGGTCAATATTCTCCTGTGGTATCTCATTCCAGGCAACCACCAACTCCTCTCGAAGTGCTTCTAGAGTCTGAGGAGGACGTTGCAAATTGAGCAATCTCCTACCCATCATATCCCACACGTGCTCAATTGGGGATAAGTCGGGATATCTTGGTGGCCATGGTAACAATGTGACATCATTATGTTGAAAGAAGTCTATTGTGACTCCTGCAACATGTGGTCGGGCATTATCTTGTTGGAAAGTTGGATCTGCCACTTCGTGGATATAACGCTGCGCGTTCATGTTACCTTTGATGAAGATTAAAGGTGACCTGAAACCATAAGCTATAGCATCCCAAACCATAACTCCAACAGTGTGATGAACATGTCTTTCAACAAAAGACTGTGGATTCCTCCTTTCACCACGTCGCCTTCTAACCCTGGCACGACCATCGTGCATGCCTAAACAAAATCGAGACTCGTCACTAAAGACAATACTGTTCCATTCCTGATCTCAGAGTGACCGTTGTCTGCACCACTCAAGGCGATTACGTCGGTGTTCTCGAGTTAAAGGGAGGACCCAGTGTGGCCGGTATGAAAACAACGGTCCCTTAAGGCCAATAATCTTAGGCGGCGATCTTCACGGTCTGTTGTTCTACGGCGGCGTCCAGTGCCCCTTGCTCTTTGCGTACGGCCTTCTCGAAGCCATGCCTGACAACACCTAACCACAGTGTCTACACTTCTTTGCACTCTATACTCTAGGCGCTGAAGAAAGAAACTAAACCCAAACAAATACACGCATATTGCTCGTGAGTGAGTGTTTAGGCGCAGGAGACATTACAGGACCGCATCAAGATATTATGGGTAGTCATCAAAAATTTCATACAAGATAATTATTATCTTTACAGTAAATTTCAGTTAGAGATTCACAAATGAGTTAACTACACTTTTTAGTTATTAGTAAGTAAGCTGCGCGCACTCATTCAGAAGAGGAACTTGAATCTTCTGAATCGTTTAAATGAATTATTAGAGGTTCAATTTGGGTATCGATGACATTGTCCAAATCCCACATTTAGACCTAAACCTTCTCCCGAACGTGGCGGATACAGTTTTTCCATTCCTCTGCCGTAACTCTATTGACTGCGATGTGAAAGAGACTTTTAACATCAGAAAATTTATAAGTATTATTATTCGACGCCACGTATTGCTTTATGTTGGCCCAAATCAGCTCAATAGGGTTCAGCTCACAATGGTAGGGTGGCAGTCTCAAGACAGTTTTATTTTGTTTTTTGGCCATTTCGTCGATCATTTTAAAATCGTATTTGTATTTATGTCTATTGACTATACTTATCAATTCACCCTTGACCATTGTTTCATCAAAATCGATCTGTTTTGAGGCCAGCCATTGTTGTATGTTTGCTTTTTTAGTTGCCATTGTGGGAATTTTTTCTATTTTTCTAGAATGGTACGGGGCATTATCCAGTACAATAACAGCGTTATTCTCCAGCTTTAGTAACATTTTGGAGAACCAATTTTCAAAGGAATTGCCGTCCATCTCCTCATGATAGTCCCCTGTCTTTTTTGATTCAAAGGCCCACAGTGCTTCGGGAACAAAGCCGTCTTCACTACCTACGTGACAAATGATCAGCCGTTTGCCTTTTCCTGGAAATAAATTATTCCTTACACTATGGAGATTAAATTTGAAGGAATGAGGCAATTGAGTTCATTTAGCTGAATTTAAGAGTCACGGAATGCTGATCAAAAACTGAAAAACGTAGAAAATTGAAGTTTGCAACTTCTCAAAACCCATTCAAAGCAAATTGACTGCACCCAAAAATGATAATAAATTTCAAAATAACGCTTAAAAGAGGGTCGAAGTTTTTTTCCTAATGACTACACTGCGAATGCACCATTTTTGGAGAATATCACACATTATCTGCTATCACAGCATATTATTTGCCCGAATTTATCAAAATTAAATTGCCGGATAGATGAAGGAGCTTACCTGCAGGATTTTTCAATCCAGCCGAAAGACCGTCTAGAAAAGCCTGCCTTGATGATGTTACTGATTTGTCGACCCAAACTTTCGCTTGAGTATGTCCATCATTCACCCACGTTTCGTCCAAATAGTAAATTTTTCTTTTTTCATCGCGAAACTTCCGAATCTTCCTAAGGTATTCCCTTCTCCACACAACAATTTCTTCTTTCTCTATTAACATACTGTTTCTTCCCCGTTTCAAGAATCGAAAATTAAGTTCCTTCAAAAGTTTTCGGAATGTGGTTCTTTTAAATGATGGAAGATCCTCATCAGCATTAACTAATCTTAATATCTTATCTACTGTAGGTATCTCATTTCGGAAGAAAAAATTATGCACTTTCCTCCTGATGGCAGTTCTGTCAAAGTCATCTACTCCGTCCGTTATCCTTTTTCTTGCAGGATACGGTTTTGGCTCAGAAAGTGAGTGAGTGCTCCTATATTCCTTAATGATCCTATAAACACTGGACCGACATACTCCAGAAATATGTGCTACCTTACATATAACTTCGTCCACGACCAAATCGGGTTTTTCTTGAATTTGGTTTTTGTATATATTTAATATTATTTGTTTTTCATTTGCACTTAAATGTAGCGTCTTAGCCCTTTTTTTGGGTGGGGTTGCGCTGATGTCAACCACTTCGTCGGCTGTATCTGTGTCAGACATCGTATCTTAGGCAATATATAAACAAAACGTTCCACTCGCGAAAAACGAGTATACGCTACTGAATGCGTAATGCGTATGCAATGCAATCCTGTGCGTGAATTAACTGTTAGATGCCTGTCGTGTCATCTACAATCACGTTTACAAGTCCAAACCTGTGCAGATTCGTAGAGCGCCGACGACTGCTAGTGACCTTGAATTTGTCTGTAGATCGATGTTACTCCAGTCAATTTAGGTTCAAAGTGGATGTTTTCTAAAAAAAATTGTTGTTCCTACATCAAAAATATATCGATGATGTTTTGTACTGGGAGCTCATGAAAGATCAAGGTAACTTATTTTAACAGTCATCCTTTTTCTAGTCTCAAGATGACACGAAAAAGGGTCTGTGGATTCACTAGAAATACACTGCCGAGGATGTTTAGACCTAAAGTGACTGGAGTATATCCGTGGATGCTTTCGAGGGATCTGTTCACGTGCTGATCACTGTTTACGTTTAATGTCTTTCTTCAGCGCCCAGAGTTTAACTGCAATTGCCCGAAAAGAAAGTCCAGCTTCCCGAAGTCCCACTATACGGCGCCTATCAAACTCACTAAGTTGACGAAATCGTACAGGTCTCCGTACTCTAGGCATCGTAACCGATCGTCAAGAACCAAAATCCGCCAACATTGATTCTTTACTGCGGCTGAAATATTCATTTTTAGAGCGTTAGTGAATTAAAAAAAATCAGTATAAAAACCGCAATGTCCAACTGATAAGGCTTTCACTTGTTATTTACAGTAAGATAAATACATTCACCAACTTTTATTAAAATAAAACCATTTAAACTGGGTGTTCGGATTTATATGTCACTTAGTATATTTAAGACCTACTTAAGAAAGCGTCAACTAGCTTATTAGGGATTTAATAATATACACATGCTGCACAATTTGAAAACATTTTATTGATTTTGTCCTAAATTACACCTTGTAATTCATTCAACTAACCTCATCATGCGATTAATTCGAGGTTTGACCTGATAGCACGAAATTTGACACTAGCATTTCAACTCTGTCTTATATTTATACCTTTTTGGACAATCGGTCACGCACTTTATATTTTTTGAATCACTTACAAATACTAATCACACAATACATAAAATAATAACTTATTGGACACATCAGCACAGCTTCTAATTCTATTAGTTCGGGATCTCATCTAACTTGAATGAAGGGTAAATGCTTTTTACCCTATGATGTTGCATTTATGTCTCAATTAGCAATTTGACAAATTGTGAATTTGATCCCGGACCGTATCCAATACGAACGTATTAGAAAATCACACTAATCCGGCATCTTTACACATTCCATAAAATATCGTATTCTCATCCTCGAGCAAATTCTTAGGCGAGTCGAATTCTGCAATTAGCCCCTTATCGAGCACTAATATCTTATCGGAATCCATGATCGTATTCAGCCTATGAGCTATTGTGAGAATCGTACAATCTTTGAAAGCTTCTCTGATCGTCCTCTGGATCAGGTCGTCGGTTTCCAGATCCACGGCTGCCGTGGCTTCGTCTAGAACGAGCACTTTTGTCTTACGGAGGAGTGATCTGCCTAGGCAAAGAAGTTGGCGTTGACCTACTGATAAGTTGTCACCACCTTCTGTTATTTCGAAATGCAGCCCAGCTGGTTGACCTAGAACGAAAGTTATTGTCATTTTAAGATTATAACTAGCGATATTTAAGATTATTTTAAGATTCAGATAATTGCAGATGATACTTTAAGGTACATATCAGATGAAAATATAGACACTGCTTTAAAGGTGCTAAATTTTGACTTGGCAAAAATCATAAATTAGTTAAATGTGAATAAACTAAAATTGAATGCTTCTAAAACAACATGTATTTTAATAGTGGAATACTTAAATGAAAATACTAATACCAATTAGGATAAACGATAAAATGATTGAAGAAGTTGAATCAATTAAATATTTGGTTATAGAGGATGATTCACAAGTCGAGACCAAAAATGAAACATCATACACAGGACCGCATTTTCATTAAAAAAATAGAGGTTTAAAAATAAAAAACCTTTTTTTAATATAATAATAATAATAATAATAATAATAATAATAATAATAATAATAATAATAATAATAATAATAAATGCCTTTATTTCCAAACAGTTCTCAAAAAAATATATCAGAAAGAGAAACATGAGTATTAACAAAAAAAAAAGGAAAAGAAAAAATAAAACAAATGTCGACTGTCTGAAAACCACAAGGGGAGTTCACTATCTAGTGCTCTTCCACTCATCTCTTGAAATTGTAAGAAACATTATGCCAGTAAATATATCCATCAAGCATAAATATACAAACATCAATATGAACAGCATGTAAGTTTTTTTTAAAAATAAGATAGAAAGATAGAAAAGTGAGAAACGTGGTGGTAAATTAAAAAAAAAAAGAAGGTCTAGAATAATATAAATATGGGGTTGTCCAAAACGGACGCAGGAAAGTAAATGCATATTAAAACAAGAAAGATTGATATTCAAATCAAGTTGGGTACTTTATTTTGAAGGGTCATTTATACCATTTATGTATGAAAAATAATATCGCTCAAATGTTCACCACGATTTTATTTACAGACGTCCACGCGATGGTCGAAATTTTCAATGACATTTTGCAACATGGTCGGTTCTATGGCATTTATCTCGGCAATGATGTTGTTTTTGAGTTCTTGGAGGGTGGCTGGTTTGTTGACGTAGACTTTGCTTTCCAAATATCCCCATAAAAAGAAGTCCAAGGAAGTCAAATCGCACGATCTTGGTGGCCATGGCACATTTCCTCTGCGCGAAATCACGCGATCACCGAAGGACTGCAATCGATGGATATTGACGTTGGTTGTGTGGCATGTTGCACCGTCTTGTTGGAAATAAACATCGTCCATATCCATTCCTTCAAGTTGCGACAAAAAATAGTCCTCTATCATCACATGATATCGCTCAGAATTGACGGTAACGGCGTCCCCGGCCGTATTTTCGAAAAAGTAAGGTCCGATGATGCTTTTTGACCACAATGCACACCACACAGTCACTTTTTGAGGATGCATCGGCTGCTCTTGATGCTCACGAGGATTTTCGTTCGCCCAGATGCGACAGTTTTGCTTGTTTACCGTCCCATTCAAAGTGAAATGCGCTTCGTCGCTGAACATGATTTTTGATGAAAAATTGGCATCAATTTGGCGGTGTTCAAGGAGCCAATCTGAGAACGTTCGGCGCGAAAAATGGTCGGCCAACGCAGCTCTTGCGTCAATTGGATCTTGTAGGCGTGTAACATTCAAATCCTTGTGGAGAATGCGGAGCAAACTGGTTCTCGAAATGCCCAATTCTTGGGATCGACGCGTTGTTGATTGTTTCGAATCGTTTCTCACACTCTCCTTCACAACAGCAATATTTTCCGGTGTGCGAACGCTCCTTGGCCGGCCAGAGCCTGGCAGATTTGCCACAGAACCTGTTGCCTCGAATTTACGCACCAGACGACCGATGGTTGTTTCGTTTGGGCGGTTGTTGCGACCGAAATGTTCACGAAGCGCGCGAAACGTGTTTTTTATTTTTGCACCATTTTTGTTTTGCTCTTGAATAACTTTAATGCGGTCTTCAATCGAATACGACTCCATAGCGATCAATGGTAAACATTCAACTAACAAAATGACATGTCGGTGACAGAAAACAAAGATGGCGTCTATGTCAAATTGACGTTTATTTTCCTGCGTCCCTATTGGACAACCCTTTATATACATACAAATATACAGGGTGTCCCGAAAAAGGTGTGCAATATTCTACCAGCGGTTTCTAGAGCTCAAAATGGGAAGAAAAGTTTATATAAACATCGGTCGACAAACGTCCTCTAAGGGCGCTACTCTATTTTAAAGGGGCTCCCCTGAAGATGGTTTTTCCTTAATATTTCCGAAACGTGTTGAGATAAAGACATAACATTTGGTATTCTAGCCTAGTTTTTTATGCTGGATTTAAAAATATTAACATTTTTAGACAGTTTTGTATGGGAGCGTATGTAACAGGGACGGACTCCGGTTATTGTAGCCCCAAAATTGTCGTGTGATTCTATTTTTGAAATTCAATTTTAGAATTTGAAAATTTAGGGTTTTCTACATAAAAAAGGTACTCTTATTGAATATCGATAAATTGTGCCATTTTTGAATAAAATCCAACTAAAAAATTGTCACATGATAGGAAATGTACTGCGAATTTAAATGATTATTATACATAGTTAGCCATGACTGCAAACAAAAGTTGTTTTGATTTGTTATGACTTATTTTGACGTTAAGCTGAAATTGTTAGCATTGTAAAGTTACCAGATTAAAATCAAAATTTTTATTAAATCGATTTGAAATGCCAAGATTTACAGACAGAGAACTGACTGACATGCATTTTGTGTACGGGTTTTGCAATGGCAGTTCATTGGCAGCCGTAACAGAATATCAAAGAAGATTCCCCAATCGCATAGTACCTGGACGTCGAATGTTATTGATATTCACCGGAATTTGTGAAACCATGGAAGTTTTCAGCGCATGCAGGGCTCAGGAAGGCCACTGGGAAATCATCGTATGGATATTGCTTTAAATGTGTTTGAAAATAATCTGCAAATAAGCATACGAAATGTTTCAGAAATTATGTATATACCTCGATCAATAGCAAAAAAATGTATGAATACCTATTTGATAGTTATCCTAAAATAATAATTTTAGATAGGAAGAATGACAAGAATGCAAGGATTACATCCTTATCATTTTAAACGGGTGCAGCATTTAACGGAGGCAGATTTTTTACCAGAAATCGAGTTTTGCCAGTGGATATTAGCAAATGAAAATACTATTCCTAGAATATTATGGTCGGATGAGTCAATATTTACTAGTAATGGTGCTTTTAATTTCCATAACATGCATCACTGGTCAGATGAAAATCCAGAGGTTGTTCGCCGTACAAATTTCCAATATAGATTTTCATTGAACTTATGGGCAGGAGTAATTGGGGATCAAGTAATTGGGCCTATTGTACTTTCCAATCGTCTTAATTCAGACGTGTATCTCAACTTTCTTCAGAATGAGCTCATGCATATAATACCATTGGTTGTGCGCCAGCAGTTTCAAGAAAATATATATTTTTCAACATGATGGCGCCCCTGCACATTTTGGACGCAATGTTCGAAATTGGTTGAATGTCAATTTTCCAGACAGGTGGTTATGCCGAGGAGGTCCTATAGCGTGGCCGCCACGTTCACCTGACCTAAATCCATTGGGTTTCTATTTTTGGGGGTCATTAAAAGACCTAGTTTACTTGACTGAAGTAAATACTCAAGAAGATTTACGTCAAAGAATCCATCAGGCTGCAAATGAAATAAGAAGAAAAAGGTTTTCCACTTTTCGGGCTACGCAATCATTAGTTCGTCGAGCGAGACTCTGTATCCAACAAAATGAGAATTTATTTGAACACTTATTGTAAAGCTAGTTTTAAGTATATCTTCTTTTTTAAACAAATTTGAAATTCGTTAGTAGAAAAAATGTATTTCTTTTATTTTTGCCTAAATGTTGCAATAGAAATATGTATTTATGTAATATTTACCAATTATTAAATTATTTTTTTCGTTGTCATGGATAATTATTCAAGCATTCATTTAAATTCGCAGTACATTTCCTATCATGTGACAAAGTCATGCAGTGATCAATAATGCAGCCATTTAGCACATGCTACATACTAACTAGTCTAAGATAGTTTGAAACATAATTGTCTCTTCATTTTGCGTGCTAACTTTATAAACAGTTCAGCGCATTTAGGTATGAAATATTTATTTTTATAAACTTTAGGGCACATCTGTGACCGTATAAGAGTTTCAGCTCCAAATATGTATACACAAGAGTAATAATAATAATAATAATAATAATAATAATAAAGTGTCTTTACTGGCAACCTTCCATATTATGGCGAAGTTTAGCTTGATTGCTACTCTTCCACTTAACCATAATATGGACAAAACATCAAAAATTTATACAAGGAACATAATACATAGAATATAAACAATTACAGAAAAATGACGAGATTATACCATTTGCTAGCCAAGCATGCCAGAAAGCAAATATCGACATGAACATTAGAAGTCAACCAAATTGAAAATATTCATTTAACAAAATCCCAAAAATAAAAATAAAATAAATTAACAACTCAAACATTGAGAGATGATTGTATCTCTAATAGCTGTTTTCTAACTGATTTTTTAAAAGAGATTAAACTTTCTTGTTTGTTAGCCGCACTGACTGAATTGTAAAGCTGAACGGCATTATACGTGAAAGACCTCTGATATAATGAGGTGTAGTGAAGAGGAATATTGAACTGTTCATCAAGACGTAACCTTCTTGAAATTAAATTCCTACGCGGAACTAACTTATTTGCATGGTAAATAGGTCTCTTGACTGTTTTATGTACAAAAACCAACATATGAAACTTGAAAAGATTATTGAGCTTCAGCCACCCCAGCTCACAGATCTTGGATGTAACATGGCTGTACCTACAAAGGCCGGAAACAGAACGACAACAACAATTTTGAATATTCTGCAATCTGGTTGTTGTTATGGAGTCAAGACAAGGATAAAACAGTATAAAACAGTAAAGCAGCTTAGACTAAACTAACTAACTAAACTTTCCACCAATTTCTTTCTAGTCTTGAAATTGAGAATAGAACGATTGGAGTATAGGAGTATTAGGCTTGCATATGTAGCTTTAGATATATTACTGACGTGGTGATGAAATCTAAGATTTACGTCTAAAGTAACACCTAGACTTTTTGCATGCGTGACGAGTGGAATATGGACATTATTTACACTCAAATCAATCATCCTTTCAAAATGCTCATAGTTGGTTTTGGGACAGAATAACATTGCAAAACTCTTGGTAGGATTGAGATTGAGTATGAAGAAATCTTGAAAAAAATTGTTTTCTTTACAACAAAAGGTGATAAGACACATCCCCTTTGTTTTAAAATGTGTATAATAACCTATGTTTTTCGAATGTCGAAACGAATCTGTTCAATTACTCACAAATACGAGATATTTGAATTTGTTTAGAAGAAAAAACGGTAACCCTTCGTTTCTCGCATAAAAACAACAATTATCTTTCGGACTGGTTTGTGATTTATGTCGGCAAGGTAAGCTCGTGTATTTTGTTATAAAATGCTCTTTGAACGAACCCTGTATATTGCCCAGTAAACGAGTAGTGATGGCCGGAACGTCAGGTGTTTTTGGGTAAACAATTAGAAATTCTCAAAGACTGCTTCACCAATCGACTCCAATTTTGTTACTTAGAAATAGTAAGTATGAAGCCTACGGATATGAAAAATTTCAAGAAGCTGCGTGAAATTATCGTCGCATTTGCAGCAAGTGCTAAAACCTGCATTTTGTCTCGTTTTTGACCATAACTTCTTTACTATTGGACGGATCTTTTTACGTGTTTTCTCCTTCCTGCCCACACTTTTGATTGAATCCCAAAAAACGCGTTTTCCCAGTTTTTGTAAGGAAACATTTTTGGACCATAGTTTATAAAGCAAACTAACATTAATTTTTCATGTAGATTCACATCCTTAAATATTGGCACACCCTGTATACATAGAGAAATTTTTCGCAACAAAAAGTGATTGACAGATCCGCTTTGTTTTAGACTGTGTATGTATAATGCCACAAGTTTTTCGAATATCGGAGCGGATATATCTGTTCAATTATCCCCAAATACAAAATGTTTAAATTTGTTTATAAGAAAAAAGACGCAGCCATTTGTGTTTCGCATACAAATAATAATCTTTCGGAATGGTTTTTGATTCATATCAGCCAGGTAAACTGATGTATTTTGCTATAAAATGCCCTTTGACGAACATTGTATACTGCTCAATAAGCTAGTAGTGATGGCCGGAAAACAAGTGTTTCTCAAAAACTCTCAAAAACTACTTGACCAATCGACTCGAATTTTGTTGTGGTTATTTAGAAGTATAAAGCCTACGGAGTTGAGGAATGTCAAGTATCTGTGTATTACTATCGTCACATTACCAACCTGCATTTTGAGCAGGTTTTCGGTCATAACTTTTTTGCTATTAGTCGAATCTTTTTATGAAAGGTCTCATTTTGTAGGTCTCGTAAATACCCAAAAATCTTGTTTGAAATGTTTTTCGTTCCTGCCAACACGTTTTCTCATTCTTTGTTGTCGAATAAAAAGTTTTCCCACAAAAATTGGTGTACCCATTTTATGCGTCCACGTTTTAAATACCCCCTTGAACAACTTGCAGCAATAAAACCAGACCTTACAATTATTTCGCAAACCAGAGGTATTTTCGCCTAATATGATTAGACTACAACTATCTTGTTTACTACCAAAGAAGGTGTATCCTCAAAATAACAAGACCTACAAAATAATGCTATGAAAATAATATTGAATAAAAATAAGTACGCCAAAATAAAATCTATGTTACAAGAATTGCAGTTGTTAAATATAAACAATTTCATATCATATTTGGTTCTTATTTTCATATTTAAAATAAAAAATCATCTTTTGCCACAACATTTAGAACATTACATAAATTTGAATAGTTATTACCACAATTACGAGGGTGGTCCCAGAAGTATCCGGCCTGACCTAGAGATGGCGATAGTTGTTTGAAAAATATCATTGTATTAGAAAGTATGCAACCTATAAAGCATATGTGTCAAGTTTTAAGACACCACGTTGTTTAGTATGTGTTTGGCAGCCAACAATACTGAACGTGTTCAGTGAATTTGTGAAAATGGAGAAAATTGGTCATCATTATGTGGTACAATACTTTTATTCCAAAGGCCTCAGCCCAACCAATATAAAAGCTGAACTGGATTCTACTCTGGGTGAGTCTGCTCCTTCGTTTACAACAGTAAAATATTGGGTAGCAGAGTTTAAACGAGGCCGTATGAGCTGCCAAGACGAACATCGCACTGGTCGACCAAATGAGGTGACGACTCCAGAAATGGTGAAGAAATTCACAAAGCGGTACTGAATGATCGTCGACTGAAAGTGCGCGAGCTAGCAGACATAGTAGGCATTTCAAAAAGTGCGGTTCATCGCATATTATCTGTAAATTTGTACATGAGAAAGCTGTGTGCAAGATGGGTGCCGCGATTGCTCACAATCGAGCAAACACAGTGTTGTGAAGATGTTTTAATTGAGTGTTTAGCTAAGTTCCTCAGCTACAAAGCAGAATTTATGCGTCGTTTCATAACCATGGATGAAACATGGATCACTTCACACCCCAGACAAAAGTACAATCAAAACAATGCACTCAAAAGGGACAATCGGCTCCAAAGAAGGCGAAGACCGTTTCATCTGCAGGCAAGGTTACGGTGTCGGTTTTTTGGGATGCGCGTGGGATAATTTCATCTTGAAAAGGGTAAAACTATCAACGGCGCGTATTATGAGAACTTATTGCAACGTTTGAGAAATGAAATCAAGCAAAAACGGACGCATTTGGTTAAGAAGAAAGTGTTCTTTCACCAAGACAATGCACCAGCTCACAAATCCGTTATTGCAATGGCCAAAATTAACGAATTAAAGTTTGAATTGCTACCTCATGCACCCTATCCACCAGATTTAGCCCCCTCGGATTATTTGCTGTTTCCAAATTCGAAAAAATGGCTCATTGGTCAAAGATTTTCCAACGATGAAAAAGTGATGTCGGCAGTTAATGGCTATTTTGAGGAGCAAGACAGTTCTTATTATAAAAAGGGTATCGAACTTATTGAACATGCTGGGAAAAGTGTATAGAGCTCAAAGGAGATTATGTTGAAAAATACACAAAATTTTTGTGTTTTCTTCATTGGGTCGGGTACTTCTGGGATCACCCTTGTATTATACAAGAGAAAATTTAGATTTTCATTTAGAAAATTACAATAGTGATATAACTAGGAAATCAATATTTCAGAAGGGTTTACTTGAATTTAATGAACTAAATAATGATATTAAGTCTACCTGTAATTTAAAGATGTTTAAATGAAAACTAAAGGAACATTTCATGGACAGTGAACATTCTTAGAGATGCAAGTTTTGTTTTACTGAATACTTGTATGTAATGTAACTGTTGTAGTTTTTTAAAAAGAATGTAATTGTAGTAATCATGCTAAATAAATCTTAAACAAACTAAATACATTGGAAGTTATATAGATTTCGTGGCAGAAGAGGAATGTAATTTTGTTTATATTTTTCTGATAAGTTGCTCATATAAAGTTGAGGTTAATATATTGTAGATATGGAGAGTCACTTTTACGGGAATCAAAAAAGTTGCTGTATTTCACATATATAAAGCAAAAACTTGTGGTGCAGTTGTTGTTTTCTATTCCTTTGGAGCCCTCTAAACAGTGAAGTCTCTTAAAATGCTGAATATCCATCGCAAATCGCATTAGTGGGTTATACAACTGTAACTTATTTTTATTATTGGCCTAAACTTACTCTTTACAAACTGTTTCAAGTGACAATTCTCCAGAGTTTCCCACAACTCTTTGTCAGTATGTTTCTGGAAGGGGTCAAGATTCAAGCGAAGGCTTCCTGAGAGCAATACTGGTTCTTGTGGAATGATAGTCAGACGGGATCTCAACGTGTGCAGGCCCAGTTCGGATATGTCCACACCATCGATGAGAATTTTACCTTCAGCTGCCTCGATTATCCTGAAAAATAAATCGATGTCAAGTAGATTGAATCCCTCGCATATTTTCAAATTTTCCATACGCTTACTTTGAAAAACCCCCTTCAGTAATATTAGTGACATACTGACATACAGATATACAAAGGGTACTATAAAGTTTTGCAATACATCTTTATTTATTGACTTCGTTCAAAGTAATTTTCACCACATTTTATAGACTTCTTTCTATAGACTCTTAAACCAGCTCTGTCAAGTTTCACCCGGGAGTGCGGCACACTACCTATTAATCATGGACCATTTGACAAAAATTGTGAAGTATATAAAAGGAAAATTGAACGTGAGAGGGAAAAAATTAGTTATGCAAATGAATAGCAACTACTAAGCTCAGATTTGCAAGACGTGGCTAAATCTTTAAGTGATGAATATAACTCAATATACCATTTAAACATACAAGGAGTCCTGAATAATATAGATGAAGTTCAACAGTTTTTGAGATGGAGAAAACCACTTGTATTATGTCTTACCGAAACACATGCTACAGAAGACATCACTGATCGTGAATTACAAATTACTAATTATAAAACCTACAGATGCAACTCCAACTCCACACATACTGGAGGTGTAGTGATTTATGTGTTCCACAAAATACATATCACATTATTCGATTGTACCACTTTAGACTATGCATACTGGTATGCACATATACAGTTCAAATTATTTGGGAAACGTTATGATCTTTGTACTTTTTACCGTTCACCAAACAGTGATGCGGATAAATTTTTAACGTTTTTTGAAGAAAAATGCGAGGAAATGTGGAATTTTAGAAACAATATAATACTTTTAGGTGATTTAATTTAAATTATTATGGTAAAAGCATGAAAACAAGAAAATTGAAAGAAACCATAAACAACTATGGTTTCAAGCAAAAAATTGAAGAGAGTACCAGAATAACATCATTATCAGAGACTTTGTTAGATCTTGTTATTGTAAATTTCGAATATGCAGGGATTAAAGCTGTACATACACCTAAAGTTGGCGATCATAGTTGAACAATGCTGCCCTTGATAGGGCATTTTTCTGATACAAAAATTAAGAAAATCGTAAATACTATTAAGTACGAAAAACTTGAACGAAAACTTGCTGGCTGCTATTGGAATTTTGGTGAGAATATGGAAAAAATATATGACAACATAATAGGAAATATAAAAACTTGTTTAGATCTCGCAACTGATAAAAAAGTGATTTGCTCGACATAAAATACACCCTGGTATAACAAGAATATTAAGGCAGCTCAAAATTTGAGAGACAAACAATACAATAAATGTATATTCACAAAATCAAATGATGATTGGAGGTATATAAAACTCTTAGTAATAAATGTGTATATGTAATTAGAGAAGAAAAAAGGAAATTCTACGATAAACAAATCGATAATAACAAGTGCGACAGTGTAAAGATGTGGAAGACTTTAAAAAGACTGATCAATTCGAAGCCGCATGATTGTGTTAATCAAGTTCAATTCGAAAACGGTACCGAAAAAAATTCTTTGGTGATTGCAAACAAACTAAATGAATATTTTGTGGAAAGTATTGTTGATATTGTGGGTACTGCCAATGCTGCACCTGACTATATGAAAATCAGTTTCCAGGGGGAAATGTTGCATACACTTTCAAAATTGCACAGCGTATCATTGAATTATCTAAGAAAAAAAGTAAACAGTTTAAAATCAAATAACAACTGTGCCGAAATGACTACTAAAAACGTGCTAAAAACTGTTTCGAAATTTTGGGATATCCTGTATTAAATTGGATCAATTGTTCACTGAGAAGCAGTTCTTTCCCTGAAAATTTGAAATGCTCTACAATAACACCAGTTCCCAAAATAAAAAATTCTAAAAGATGTAGCGATATGAGACCAGTAAATGTGTTACCAGACATTGAAAAATTATTAGAGTCCATAGTGCATGACCAATTAATGCAGTTTATAGAAGAAAACAAAATTTTTGTGGAGGCGCAAGCAGGCTTTCGAAAAAAATATTCCACAGAAACAGCTTTCCAGTTGGTAACTGAGAATTGGAGAAGAGCCATAGACTCAGATGAAGTTGTCATAGCAGTATTTTTGGATTTGAAGAGGGCATTTGAAACGATTGATAGAGATATTTTGTTAGGTAAATTGAAGGCATTTGGTATAACAGGAAGTGTTTTAGATTGGTTTAGAAATTATTTGTCTAAAAGGATGCAAGTTACAAAAGTTAATGACACTATTTCATCAAAAATTGAAAATACGTTGGGTGTTCCACAGGGCAGTATCCTGGGACCACTTATTTTTATTTTATACATAAATGATTTACCTGCCATAGTCAAAAAATGCAAAATTCAGATTTTCGCCGATGACACTATGATTTATATAAGTACTAAAAATATTCAGTCTGGTATCTCTTATATAAATGAAGACTTGAAACTTGTCTCAAAATGGTTAGCATCTAACAGACTCAAATTAAATACAAGTAAAACGAAAGCTATGTTAATCGAAAAAAAAAACAATGTAAAAAAGTTCAACTGAATATTGATGGTGAAGATATTGAATTCATAGAAAATTTTAAATACTTGGGGGTTTTTGTTGACTCTCGATTAATTTTTGATATTCATTATGAAAAAGTTATAAATAAGATTAGTAGTAAAGTGGGATATTTATCGAGAGTTTCTGGATGTCTGAGTTCATATAGCAGAAAAATTATCTATAATACCATCATTCTTCCAAATTTCTTGTACTGTTCGACTATTCTATATTTAGCAAATAATTCCATTTTTGAAAGACTGCAAATTTTACAAAATAAGTGTATGAGAATAATACTAAATAAAGATAAATATACTCCAATTAGGCAAATGCTTAGCAAATTAGAATGGCTCAATGTAAAAATTTTTATCAAATATCGTGTAATGATATTCATTTATAAAGTAAAAAATAATATATTTCCATCAAGTCTAACTAATTTAACATCATCAAATGTCGACCATCATTTACATAATACCAGAAATAAAGATGACTTCCATTTAATGACCAAAAAGTATAACATATGCTACAAATCTGTATTCCATCAAGGGTTGATTGAATATAATAAATTATACTCGGAGATAAAAGACCAGAAAACTTTGACAAAATTTAAAGTAAAATTGAGAAATCACTTGTTAAATCTACATTTATAGGTTGCCCAGCATTAACATCATACACCATATGGCTTGAATTTACTAGTTCTAAGTTGTTTACAATTGTTCTGTTTATGTAGCCAAATGTGCTAAATAAATCTTTCTACTACTACTACTACTCGTTGTCCCAAATCCTCAGAAGGTCCTTACCGCTAGAAAACCGTTTTCCTTTTAGCTTCATGTTCTCAAGCGGAAACAGTGCAAAGTCGCAGGGAGCAAGATCTGGATTGAAAGGAGGGTGCTCAATAAGTTTCAGTCCAGCAGGTGTGTTCTCATCATCAAAGACCCAAACTTCGTTTTGAGTGTTAGTCAGCACATCGTAATAATAGAGCCAAGTCTCATCACCTGTCACGATGCTGTTCATATACCGAGATTGCCCATCATCAAACATTTTCAGCATCACTCGGTACCAAGTCGTACGACGACTCTTCTGCTCTTCCCGTCTTACTATGCGGTACCCAGAGAGAACAAAGTTTCCTTACGTGTAAATGGTCATGCAGAATTAAATTAATTGGTGGTGAATGAAGGTGTAAGTCTCCTCTATTTGTTGGTATATCACTCTCCGGTCCTCGTCAAGCATTTTCCTCACAGCAGCAATGTCTTCCTCTGTTACTGACGTTCGGGGCCTTCCTTTCCTCTCAGCGTCCTCTAGAGTGAAATTGCCGCTTTGGAATCATCGTCAATCATTCTCTAATGCAAGCGTCATTTCTTCTGCTTTGGTCTGTGCTTAAATAACGCGTAAAGTTATACCGTAAAACTGCCCTTATCTCACTAGGTGACCACGATGCCATAGGCCGCACATTACTCTGTCAATACGAATTAACAACTAAATCGAAAGACGTGCTGGTGGCGGCTACTATGCACTCATGGACATGTCTCGATATGCAGTAACATGCAGCTTCCTGCCTCCGTTTGTTAACTCATATTGTAAAACTTTTATAGTAGCCTTTGTATTACCTGACGAAATTGTAATTTTGAAGCACTATTCCATTGTTAGTAAATATCCACACATTCACGAAGGCCCAATGATCTTAACCAATCTAAATCACAGAGTGTTCTTTAATGATATGCGAATATTTAAGGGTGTGGATCTACATGAAAAATTAATGTTATTTTGCTTTATAAACTATGGTCCAAAAATGTATCCTTACAATAACTCGGGGTGTTGAAGTTTTAGGAAAAAAATGTAAATTAATTAATATTTTCAGAACCGCTTCAGTTATTTCACTGATATTTAGTACGTAGTGAAAGTTAATAAAGTTGCATATTTTTCAATGCAAAAATAATTTTTAACTTTAACAGTGGCGTGCGTACGGGTATTGTCTTCGATATTTTTTAGGAAAAAATGGTACGCCAATGTTTTTTTGTCAAATAAAAATTATTTTTGAATTCCCCGTTCAATTTAAAACAAATGATCTTTCTTGAATTGTTTTCCTTCGATGTCCCATTTTTGAGTAAAAAAATAAAAACCGTTCTATTGTCTAACTTGCAAAATTATTATTAATTTAATTGGAAAAATTAAACACATTAGTGGTAATGAACAACAACAACTGACAACATGAACATAACATTAAAACCAACGAAATGATTACAGAAATTGTTGAAAATGGACCACTTCACTTAGTATGCATGCTTCCGCCCTCCTTCTCATGGAATTGGGCACTGGTTGAAATATCTCTGGAGTATTTTTTATTCTATCACAAGCTGCAACTATTCTTTCTCTTAATTCCTCTACAGTGTTAATGGAACTTGTGTACACTAGTGTCTTAAGATAGCCCCACGAAAAGAAATCTAAACTGTTGAGGTCTGGGGACCTTGGTGGCCATTTTTGGGGCCCTCCGCGGCCAATCGGCCAATCCAATGATTTGGATAAAGAGTTTGTAAATAATTACGAACCTCTACACTGACATGCGCTGGTGCACCATCATGCATGTACCACATATTGTTTCTTATTACTAACGGAACATCATCAAGCAGCAAAGGCAACTGTTGTTGAAGAAAATTGAGGTAACTCTGTCCGTCAAGTCGTCCCGGCAAGAAGAATGGGCCAATAAAGTGGTTGACAATAATTCCTGTCCATACGTTAACCGAAAATTGGAGTTGCAAATGGGTTTCGGTTACGGCATAGGGATTTTCTTCTGCCCACAAATGATTATTGTGGAAATTCTGAATAGAATTTCGAGAAAAATTAGCTTCGTCCGTGAACAGAATCATTGATTCAAATTGCGGATTTTGTGTAATGTTTTGAAGATACTTCTGACAAAAGGTCACACGCCTTGGAAAATCAATTGGAAGTAATGCCTGTTAGTCTTAAAATATGGTAAGGATATAACAAAAAATCCACTAAAATTCTCCAAACAATTTGATGGCAAATATTTAAGTGTCTAGCGATCTTCCTCGTACTCGTTTCAGGATGTTCTTCGACTTCGTGCAGCACTACTTCCTCAATTTCGGGTGTTCTCACCCTTACAGGTCTACCTTCCGATGTTCCTTTTCGGACAACCAGTTTCAACAAGACGACGACAAATATTAGAAAAGGTTCGGCTATCCGGCAAAGCACGATCGGGATATCTCTGGTGATAAATCCGTCTGGCTTGATCACCATTACCGTCGGCAACGCCATATACTCGTACGTAATGCATTTCCGGCATTTCTGCATTTGAATAATTCACCATTATTAACAAGATTGTAAAAACTAATTAATGAAAAAGATGTCACAGCGAACAGATTTGAATTATAGACTTCTCAGGTGTCAAAAGCCAGTGACATATTCCAGAGCAACTAGATATTTATTGCTAAAATGCATTCTTCAATTATTACATTCATTTTCTCGGACAATAGAACGGTTTTTATTTCTTAACTCAAATACAATTCAAGAGAGATCATTTGTTTGAACGGGAAATTCAAAAATAATTCCATACCATATCAATACCCGTAGGCACGGCACTGTTAAAGCTAAAAATTATTTTTGTATTGAAAAATATGCAACTTTATTAACTTTCACTACGTACTAAATATCAGTGAAATATCTGAAGCGGTTCTGAAAATATTAATTAATTTCCATTTTTTTCCTAAAACTTCAACACACCGAGTTTTTGTAAGGAAACAATTTTGGTACATAGTTTATAGAGCAAATTAACATTAATTTTTCATGTAGATTCATGCCCTTAAATATCCGCATATCATTAAGGAACACCTTGTATATTGAATCCACAGAAATTAAATAAAGTACTAAATACTCAAACTTCAATCAAGAAATTCACTTCGAATCTACAATAGCTTTATGTAAAATAAAATATATAAAATATAGATCGCCTTTAATTTATTTTATAACAATTTAGAAATCATTTTAAGTGATTTACGCATAAATTCCAATATATTGCAGGAGATTATAAAATAATTGTGACTAAACAACATTTGTCTTTTATCTTGAATATGCAAGTTCAAGATGACGGATATGTATCTCAATCTTGATCTAACAAAATTGACTACATGTACAAATTATATTATTTCCTCCACTGTTTATCTACTGGATTATCGGATCATGAAGCCGTCTTAGCAACACTAATCAATTGTAATTCCAAGAAAGAAAGTACTGTGACAAATAGGCGCCATCTGTTGGGCGAGTCTCCTACTCGCCAGAGCTTAATGGCAACTCTCTGTTTTTACGCGAACGACGACCGCACAAGCCACCTGGCGGCGTCTGTGAGGACCGTGACAGTGGATCGCCTTCTAGATAGACGCGAAGTGACCTCCAATATTCTAGTTGTCGCTTTGTGGTTCACCCGGCCTTTCTCGAAGCAGCATTGGGGACTATATATAACTCGGCGGGCGGAAGATGGAAGCAGTGAGTACAGATTACACCAGTGCAGAGCGGAGTGAAGTATAGTGCAGTGTCAATGACGACATAAGAAATAGTCAGACATAAATAGTGGTGTATATAAATGTTTTATCAAGTTAAATAAATCAGTGCATTTCTTTTTGTTGAATCCAGTGTTTTAATCCACTCCCAAAAGAACCCAGAAAAAACGCTACAGTACATATAAATATACCAGACTTTTTGGTAACCATAAAATTTTTATAATAGTTCACAATAAGCTGGAATGATTGCTCCCTTAGCAACAATCCGTTTCTAACATGTTATGAACAACTTGTGAATATTTTTCTTGAAAGCTTGACCCACCAAAAAATTGAAATATAAAGTAAAAAACCGTGCACCACAAAATGATTGAAAATATCAGCTCGAAATTGGAGATTGCATTATATCAAGAAATTTATAAAAAATGAAAATTACAACTATTGTATATCATAGAATATACAGGGTGTTTTCAAAGTTGAGTCATTTATTTTACATTATATCAAGAAATTTATAAAAAATGAAAATTACAACTATTGTATATCATAGACTATACAGGGTGTTTCCAAAGTTGAGTCATTTATTTTAACAGCATGTAGAACTCGTCAAAAGAAGTTGATATACCAAAAATCATCTATATACAGGGTGTAAACGTTATGGTAGTCATTATTGAAATGGGTAATAGGGGGTTCAAAACAATGCAAAAATTTCCTATGACCCATGGTTCAAAAGTCAATAGATTTTTGTCTAAATGGCTTTATAGTTTACAACTTTAAGTGCTTTATCTCGACCACAATCACCACAATCTTACTAATTTTTATAATCTAATCTAAAACGTTTTAAAATTGGATAATTAACAAATAAATGGCATTAAGTTTTTCTACGTTAAGCCAAAATTTGTAGCCAGGAAGTAAGTAAGTTTCATTAAATTGAATATTTAAAACACACATGACAACAGCGCGTCGGTCATTCATCACTCTTGTCGAACCGGCAATCGATAGCAAACGGTAACAGTGGCTAGTTATTGTTTGCATACGTCATCGTGTTTATTTACAATGTTCTCGAGTCAAGAGTTCGCCGACATGTTAGTTTTGCGGTGAAGCTCGTCCGAATTCAAATTTTGCAGCTCAAAAATATCGCGACAGATTTCGCCAACGGGTACACCCAGACAGAAGGACATTTGTGCAAGGGTACCAAAGACTTCGAGATACAGGAAGTGTTCAGCCCACTAATATACGCACTCGTGAAAGACAGGTTACTGTACAGTAGGAGGAACACATTTTAAAAATCGTGGAAATCAATGCAGATATCAGCACTCGGGAATTACGCCGCCGCGTTAGGACTATCGCATAGAATCCCTACCATGTACTTATAAATAGGGAACACAACTTTGATGCATACATTGTTTTTCTTTTCAAAACCCACACTGCACTTTTTTAATTTGAAGAAGGTGTTCAAAATGTCGTCCTCCTCTTTCCACACAAGCTTTATACGACGAACCCAGTTTCTTCTTACTCTAGGTCCTCGAAGTTGTCCATTTATTATTTCAGCCGCATTAAAATTTTTTTCGCGAAGTTGTGCTTCAGTTGTTATTGGACCAGCCCCATAAACCATCCCTTTAAGTTCTCCTCAATACCCGAAATCCAACGGACTGAGGTCAGGAGATCTTGCTGGCCATTTTCGAGGATCAGGAGCATTTCGGCCGATCCAGTGATCTGGATAATGTTCATTCAAATACTGAATGACGCCTCTAAAAATGTGTGGTGGTGCCCCGTCATGAAGAAACCACAAATTCTGTCTGCGTTGTAATGGCATGTTGTCTAAGATCTGTTCCAAAAGTTCTGGTTCGTTATTGGCTAGAAAGCTAAGGTATCCTTCTCCTGACAACTTTGGGGGTAACTCGAAAGGGCCAATTACCTGGTCGTCAAGGATATCCGCCCAAACATTTATTTTAAAACGTTGTTGGAAATGACCTTCACGAATGCTATGAGGATTTTTTTGGGCCCACGTGTGAGTAATATGGAAATTTAATTATCCCGTCTCGCTTAAAAGTACGAGCCCCTTCCCACTTCAGTTGGCCCAACTATTGAAATCTTAGTTTTTTTCTTATCAAACACAAATAATAAAAATGTAGCAGAATGTTATAGGTTTAAAATATTAACAATGAATATTTTGATAATATATAGTAGAAAATACCAACTATCACTCCCTAATCAAATTTGCAGCATAAAAATAACACATGTTGTAATTACAGCATATCAACCTATTTTCATTTCAATGCAAAATAAGTCTATAACGCATAGGTCGCTGTGAAAAATAAAAGTCATGACAATTGTTTTTATTAATCATAGCTGTTAGAATACGTTTAAAATAGTTTTGGGTAGTTAAGGTTTTCAAAATGGGTAGAGGAAAGGCTATTAGTGAGAAAATTCGGTTACTGATAATTAAATTTTTTAATTCTGGAAAATCAAACTCAGAAATTGCAACTTTATTAGACTTATCGCGGTACAGTGTGAGAAACATTGTTAGAACATATAACGTAACTGGTTCAGTTAATATTAAGCCTGATCGATTAAGACGCAAAGTTTTTAGGACTCGAAAAATATAGCATTAATTTTTTTGTTGAGCCGCATATGTCGCGGAGATATACTGAGACATGAAAATGTGTGACAGAACATTATTTCTCTTATACTATGAAAAGTAATAACTCAACAACAACTCCTCTCACCTGAACAGTGCCAACGTCAAACTGGACTTTCCTGCTCCAGTTCTGCCTACTATACCAACTTTTTCGCCTCCATCGATATGTACAGTCAAACTTTTCAAAACCAGCTCCAACCCTGGTCTGTATCTCACTGAATACTTTTGGAAATCTACAACCCCACTCTGTGGCCAGTCAGCTAAAATGAGAAAATATGAGAGACACCGTTAAAAAGTGCATTTATGGGTCAGAGATAACTGAGTTCTATATTCCATATTGGTATATTTTCCAAAATCCTTATTTCAGCTGAAAATAAACGCAACAAGCAACATTTTTGCCAAATTCGTCATTTCATTTATTTACCCTATCTTATTGACTACTTCAGCAGGCGGTAGGTAAACACCCATTGGCTTTATTGTGTAAATATGGGTTTTTGATTGTGGTCATGTTTCGACTTATTGTACAGGGTCAAACAAAATGATGTTTCGTTACCCCAACTTTATAGTAAATCACTATGTGACCGCATTGCTCTCCATTATCCAGATCCACATTTTTTCTATAATCTGGATTTTTATTCACATCAACACATACAGTAGTTGAAGTTTTAGAAGCAAATGAAGATTTTACCACCAATTTTGCTTCTTCCTTTCATGGCTTTTTTAATTCCCGTAAGAAGTCAAAAAGTTTTTCATTTGTACAGAAAAGGTTTTCTGTGCTTGGTTCACATTTTTTATGTCATCATCCAGACAGGTATGAGTACTAAAGCTATAACCACTCATCTAAACACTGGAGAGATGATTTATCCCCTTCGTCTTTGCCGTTTCTAAATACAAAAAGAATATTAAAAACTAAGATTATTAGTAGGTGTATCTACCTGGTGGATTCTTGCCGGGTATTTCCCATTCAGCCTCTTGTTCCATTTCAACGTACTCTTTGATACGTTCCATCGATACGATATTAGTTTCTGCATCAGATGACATTCTTACAAGCCAGTTCAACGTTTGAGTTATCTAAAATAGAAAGATAAATATACTTTGTTTGGCGAATACAATTATTCTTAAAGTCAAAGCAACTTGGAGCTAATCTATAAAAATTACATAAATGGATCTTAAGTAGGTGAACTGTAGAACTCACACTTGGTATAATATGGTTTATATATTGAAGAATTTTCAAGTTCACGGCGGAATATCATTAAATTGTTAATTCTTTTGCTAACATCAGGGAGACACATGTAAATTATAAATGGGTCTTTCACAAGTTTTCACTTAGGTCTGAGGTGCTACTAATGTGTGTTCTTGTTTTTCGTCTAATATTGTAACTTAATTAACTTATTGTAATTATTCAAATTTAGACTTATTTTTTAAATAAGAGTTGCGGTTTCCAAAACGGATAATGATACAACAGTCATTATTTTAAGATTCACAATTCGTAGGTGGTAGACGGTCTCTGACTGTCGAACGCGGAGGTACCACCCGGCGGATCTCGTAGGCGTTGCATGCATATGTGTTTCCTCGCCATAGTCCGTGTGGCGTTCCCCGTTTCCCCTGTATCCCCCTATAGCCCCACGGTACCCCATGAGTGTTTAGGCCTTAGGCCTTCGTGGTGGTTGTAGTATATAAAAAAGGCCTACATGAAGCTCAAGGATTACTTTTGATTATATATCTAATAGACCGTTTCTGCAGGATAAGCACTTTTTTAAACAATTTTGGGATCAGACACACCAAAAGGGAATACTATATCTCAATCTATACGTACTTTCAACTAAGCAAAGTAACTGCTTAAGGCTGTGCTTTACCTACGTTGTAACTAAATGTTGTTATAATAAAGGAAATCTTTGGTAATTGACTCAGCAATTTGTGTACATGATCAGTAAAATCTAATTTATGATCAATGGTCAGTCTCAAGAATTTAGTAGTAGTAGTAGAAAGATTTATTTAGCACATTTGGCTACATAAACAGAATAATTGTAAACAACTTAGAACTAGTAAATTCAAGCCATATGTATGATGTAAATGCTGGGCAACCTATAATTGTAGATTTAACAAGTGATTTCTCAATTTTACTTTCAATTTTGTCAAAGTTTTCTGGTCTTTTATCTCCGAGTATAATTTATTATATTCAATCAACCCTTGATGGAATACAGATTTGTAGCATGTTATACTTTTTGGTCATTAAATGGAAGTCATCTTTATTCCTGGTATTATGTAAATGATAGTCAACATTTGATGATGTTAAATTAGTTAGGCTTGATGGAAATATATTATTTTTTATATCATTACAAGATATTTGATAAAATTTTTTAGATTGAGCCATTTTAATTTGCTAAGCATTTGCCTAATTGGAGTATATTTATCTTTATTTAGTATTATTCTCATGCACTTATTTTGTAAAAATTGCAGTCTTTCAAAAATGGAATTATTTGCTAAATATAGAATAGTCGAACAGTACAAGAAATTTGGAAGAATGATGGTATTATAGATAATTTTTCTGCTATATGAACTCAGACATCCAGAAACTCTCGATAAATATCCCACTTTACTACTAATCTTATTTATAACTTTTTCATAATGAATATCAAAAATTATTCGAGAGTCAACAAAAACCCCCAGGTATTTAAAATTTTCTACGAATTCAATATCTTCACCATCAATATTCAGTTGAACATTTGTACATTGTTTTTTCCGATTAACATAGCTTTTGTTTTAATTGTATTTAATTTTAGTCTGTTAGATGCTAACCATTTTGAGACAAGCTTCAAGTCTTCATTTATATAAGAGATACCAGACTGAATATTTTTAGTACTTATATAAATCATAGTGTCATCGGCGAAAATCTGAATTTTGCATTTTTTACTATGGCAGGTAAATCATTTATGTATAAAATATAAAATATAACTATCAATTTTTGTCTTGATTCAATTTATATCTGTGTCTTGCCAAATTATTGTAGTATCATCAGGAAAAACTACGAATATATTATAATTTATCTTTAATTTTATTAAATAATTTATATAGACTAAAAATATGATCGGACCTAATACCGATCCTTGAGGTACTCCTGCGTTTATATTTAACTTTTTTGAAATATAATGTCCTGATACTTTTATATGATAAAGAAGGAATTACTGATTCAAACTGTGTTGTTTTACCTAAATATTGCTCCAGTTAATAAACGAACAACAAACAAATAACAAAATTCATTTGAAATGTTTTTACTTTACTTTCACTGTTGCTGGGGTAATCGAAACTTAGTAGCTAGTTTGTTCATACAGGGTCCGCCAAAGGAACCTGACGTTTTCAGAATGGATAGTACGAAGCTGTTGTTTGACGTAGAACATCGGTTACAGTCAACGACTTCATAAGGTTAGACTACGCATGTATACGTGTCATTGTTTGTAACCGCTTCAGGGGTGCAAGGGGACAGGTGAAGACTGTTTTGTAAACAAACGTTCGACGATTGACATTCATTTTCCATAGGCGTATCAATATTTTGTTTAAGTAGGTTACCAATTCATTCATACAGAATCTCATTGCACTTCAATGTACCCAAAATATCCGTGTTTCGGATTTTCACGATTTCAAGCGAGAAAAATTTGCAAGTTGTACAATATGTAATCATTATCCCGATATTGACTTGAACGAGTTCACAACTAAGAACGAGTTGTTTAAATAGACAATGTTCATGAACAATATCCAAAGTTTAGAGCCAGCATGCCATAAAATAAAATGTTCCCTTGCAAGGAATGCAATGTTTCCACCGAAACTAAAAAGTTGGCAGTGTGCAGTCACTCTAAATTATTGGGTACATTCAGTTATATTATTTGGTAGCATCTCAAGCTAGTCCCAAAAGAACATATTCTGATGCAGTGTATTTAAGAGGATTTGGGTTTCTGTAGGTTTATTATAATTTTTATAAAACAGTAACAGTGGATACAGGTAATGGGATAATTAAACAACAAATGTTTGAAATATTTTAATTCAGTTATTATAATAATAATAAAACGTCTTTAATAGAAATATGATATACACAATACAATAAATAATTTACCCCTATGTAGCTACTTTATCCAAACATATTAAATCTATATTAAACAGTATAAGAGGCGCGTACAAAATTTCAAAAGAATAAAAAGACAAAATTTACTCTTGAACGCAGTCACATTATAACCTCACACATACCCCAAGAAAAAGATGAGGCAGCATGCCATATGTAAGCTCATACTTATAGCTCTTGGTTGCTCAGTAGTAGGATATGAGAGATCAGGGTAGAGTTGATGTTGTAATTGTAAAGAACGATAGCAGCATGAGGACAAATAAAACAAGGTTGTAAAATTCAAACAATATTAGAAAAAAACCCCAAACAATAAGCAAAAATTGAGGTAAGAATCACATGAAAAGAATGATTTATCTTTTGATCTACTCTCGCAAAGAGTGGACAAATCTGAGTTTAAAACAGGGATGGTCCCATGCGCTGGTGGTGAAATGATGTGATGACTGTGCCCCATGTACAAGTGCAATGTTGGTGTAATGATCATAGCACTCAAAAAGGCGATGTGGTTCCCCTCACCAAAAAGTAATGTTGGTGCCCCTCAAAGTGGAAGGTTTTATGATGATGATGTCCCATAGAAAAAAGGTATCGGTGATGGTGCCCCCCCCCCCCCCCAAAAAAAGAATGGGAGAAAAGTTGGCTTCAAGTCCCATTCATCTCACAAGAAACACAAATCATTGACTTCTTTAATTTATTTTGATCATCTCGAATGATCTGAATCACGTAAACTCAGCTGAGGCGTTCTAACAGGTTGAAAGGTCAGAGATGAAAATAACAAAATGTAGAGAAAAATCATATCAAAGTTTTACTGATTTCTGAATAGTATGCTTTTTGTGAGGTCACTTCTGTATCGTCTACCAAATTCTGATGCTAAATTTGACTCGTGGTGTAACCTTAGCCTTATGTATTTAGCCAAAATCATCTTTGTCAGCTGCAGTGAATGATTGTTTTCGAAGCTATCATCTAGAACATGGTCACCAAATACTTCAAATATTGATGTATTTAACTTCCTTAGTGTATAGCTTACTAAGTATTTTTCGATGTTTCCAAGTTTATTGCTAAATATGCTGGAAATGGCTTTCAAGGACCTTACAGACCTCTCCCCTTCTTCACAGACTTTTATAACATAATTAGAAGCTCGTGTTAAGTTGCCATATTGCTTCCTTTTTTGCAACAAAGAACGTGTTTCACTGGATTCCATTAGCAGCAGGCATTCATGACAAGATACACACTTTTTCAAATTTTTCACCACAAAGCCAGATATGTATGCGACAATATCACAGACATACGGAGTTAGCTGCCACAGATGTAATGAACAACTACCAAATATTAAAACTTCTGTAGTATTCTCCATATAATCATCATTCTCTGAAAGAATGTTGCCACAATTAGTTTTAGTCAAAGTGTTGATATATGTAGTGCCTAGAATACTAGTGTTGTCCAGTGAAACAACATTTCCATACTTGGAGCCCTTAATGTCACAATGCAAAAGTAATCTCTTGAAAATACTTTCAAATTGTCGAGCAGTTGGATTATTATTACATCCTCCCTTACTACGCACTGCGCTAAAAAATAGCTCAATATGGTCTTGGGACAGCTTGTATGTCAATATGTAATTCAAGTATTTGAATTCAATGACATATTCTAGATAAAATTGCTGTAAACTAGCCATACAAATCAAAAATCCCAGGAAACCCGTTTTCCTTCTGCATTGAAGTACTGGGGTTGTTTCTGTCTTAAGACCTTCAAAGTATGTCTTGCACTGTTCCAAATATACAAATATCTGCTGAGCATTATTGACATCTAAGCCTTGTTTGAATTCGTATTTTGAGTATCTCGAATTACTATTAAAAATGTCAAAAATATTATTTATCATTTCAGCAAAGTTGGCAGTTGCTGAAGCACCTTCAAATTCTTTCAAACCTAAATCTGTTTCCAGAAACCTCAGTGCATCAGCAACACT